CCCAGCCTTTAACCTTGCCTTTCTCTCCCCTACACAAAAACCATGCTTGTTCCAGCTCCCTTCCCCCCCCTCCCACACTACTGTTTTCACTTGTATACTTGCCCTCCCCCCCTTCCTTTTCTGCTCTCACATAGCTGTGTATATTTCCAACACCAGTCTGCTTGTACCGGTTCTCATGGTCTCTTCGCTTGCGGATTTCTTATATTTTCCCTTCTACCCCGAAGATGGAGGCGATAACTTTCGTCCGAAACGTCGGTTAACACCACATATACACGGTGCCAAATCCCAGAAGACTGCTTTCTTCACTTTAGGATGTATTTGCGAATACAGAGAGCAGCTACTGCTCTCTGTATTCGCAACGCAATTCACCTGCCCTGAAGATGGAGGCGATACATTCCTCCGAAACGTCGGCTAAAACAAAGAATATACGGCGCCGGATCCCAGAAGACGACTTTCTTCAAGAATTTTGAAATCTGACTATATCTAAGGTATTGAAATTGCCAATTTTATGACTGTAAATTTTGATTGTAAGATGTCAAATTTATGTTTTTAAATGTACTATTTTGTGTATAAATATTGTGGCTAACTTACATGTTTTTATAACTTGTCCGATCATGTATAAGAAAATTTATTTTGTTGACCGGTTTCAATCGTTTTCGAAACTATGCATGTATTGGACTTGTTCCACATCCAAAGGCGTTTTAGCCCCTCTGGATCTATGGAATTGGAAATAAATATGAATAATAGTAGCCACTTTTTCACAATGCACTAAAATGTACCACTTACTCCTTTAGATCCTTCTTAACTGAACAAATTTCATAAATAATTTTCCTTATAAAATTTCAATTTAATGGCCATTTCAGCTTTTATAATAGGCAGAAAGAGAGAGAGATTTTATTGGGAATTTGATTTATGTTAGTGTTGCCAAATATTGTGATTCTGAGGTATGGGATAATTTGTGTGCTACTGTGCAGAGTAAAAGTAGTTTTCTGAAAATTCTTGAAGTTTATAGCTGAAAAATTAATGTTCAAATTGAGATTGATGTATTATTATATTATATTTGAGCATCCTGTTACACTCGCACAATATATATAAGATAAACACCGTCTTAAGTGTAACAATTTTATTGTAGTTCTTTCTTATTTCCCCTCACTCCACACTACATGTTTCGGCCCTAAATGGCCATCATCAGGTGTGTATTCTTACGT